TTGCATTTTCCAGACAAAGAGCAGCGGGATGCGCATCTTTTGGTGGCGAATCTTGTTTTTTTTTTTTTTCTTGTTTGTGTTTGTTTGGTATTATTTTTGGTGTCAGTGTGTTTCTCATTATCACTCTTGTTAGCGTTTTTTTTATTTATTTATTATTATTATTTTTTGCATTTCCAGACAAAAGAGCAGCGGGATGCGCATCTTTGGTGGCGATCTTGTTTTTTTTTTTTCTTGTTTTGTGGTTTGTTTGGTGTTATTTTTGGTGTCAGTGTGTTTTCTCATTATCACTCTTGTTAGCGTTTTTTTATTTATTTATTATTTTTTTTTGGCATTTCCAGACAAAAGAGCAGCGGGATGCGCATCTTTTGTGGCGATCTTGTTTTTTTTTTTTTTTCTTGTTTTGTTTGGTTTGTTTTTGTTTTTTTTGGTGTCAGTGTGTTTCTCATTATCAGGCTTGTTAGCGTTTTTTTTATTTATTTATTATTTTTTTTTTGCATTTCCAGCAAAAGAGCAGCGGGATGCGCATCTTTTGGTGGCGATCTTTTTTTTTTTTTTTTTTTTTTGTTTTGTGTTTGTTTGGTATTATTTTTTTGTGTTAGTGTCTCATTATCACTATTGTTAGCGTTTATTTTTATTTATTAATATTTTATTATATTATTTTTTTTTATCCAGACAAAAGAGCAGCGGGATGCGCATCTTTTGTTGGCGATCTTCTTTTTTTTTTTTTTGTCTTGTGTTTTTTTTTTTTTTTTTTGTCAGCGTCTCTCATTATACTATTGTTAGCGTTTTTTATTTTATTTATATTATATATTTTTCGCATTTCCAGACAAAGGCAGCGGGATGCGCATCTTTTGTTGGCGATCTTCTTTTTTTTTTTTTTATTTTGTCATTGTGTGTTTTTTTTTTTTTTTTGTCAGTGTCTTTCTCATTATCACTCTTTTTTGTTTTGTGGTTTGTTTGGTATTGTTTTTTTTTGTCAGTGTCTTTCTCATTATTACTATTGTTAGCGTTTTTTTATTTTTTATTTATATATATATTTTTGCATTTCCAGAGCAAAGAGCAGCGGGATGCGCATCTTTTGTTGGGATCTCTTTTCTTTTTGTTTNTGTGTGTGTAGGGTGTGTGTGTGTGTGTGTGTGTGTGTGTGTGTGTGTGTGTGGTGTGTGTGTGTGTGTGTTGTGGTGCCTACACACACACAAACACACACACACAACACACACACACACACACATATATATATATAATATATGTGTGTGTGTGTGTGTGTGTGTGTGTTGTGTGTGTGTGTGTGTGGTGTGTATGTATATGTAGATATACTTACATATTGGTATATGTATATGCATGTGTTTTATATATGTATATTTATCTATCTATCTATCTATCTCTATATATATGTGTGTGTGTGCGTTTGTGTGTGTGTGTGTGTAGAGAGAGAGAGAGAGTATGAAAGAGAGTGATAAATGTAAAGCCATAATGAGGAAGAAAGAGGAAAGATACGGAGAGGGGAGAGAGAGAGAGAGAGAGAGAGAGAGAGAGAGAGAGAGAGAGAGAGAGAGAGAGAGAGAGAGAGAGAGAGGAGAGAGAGAGAGAGAGAGGAATAAAGAGAAACTTAGAACTCCTATCAATACCTGAATTTTTACGTGAATGCTAACAAAGCCAAAGTCAACGGTACAGGCGAGCTTGGCAATCATTAAAATTCAGGCAAGTCTCCCTTCGTTAAAGCGAACCAGATTGCGTCTTCGGTTGCACCCCCCCCCCCCTCCCGTCACCTTTCACCTCCCCCCTTCTTCCTCTCACCCTATACCCCTCCTCCTTTCTTCCAAACGAAGGGTATAGAAGCACTCAGGAAAATAGGTTGAGGCGAAGGGGCTTAGAGGAAAGTGTTTCGCAATATGAGACTTTCGAAAGATGGATTTTGAGGAGGTATGCAAGTTGTGATGTGAAAAGTCTTGAAATAGTTTTTTTTTTTTTTTTTTTTTTTGGGGGGGGGGGGTCCAAACCGGAACAAAAACGAAAAAAAAAAACAGATGTATATGTATATACATATACTGAGATAAGTAGATATGTAGCCACATACATGTACATAAATCTGCTTGTATAGATATATATGCCTATGCCTATGTGTATGTATGTATATATATGTAGTTTTCTTTCTTTATACATATATACATAAATATTTTTTTATGCATACATATACCCATACACATGTACAAAATACACGCACAGTCCGGCCACCCCAAGCCCCGACTCCCGTTCCTCCTCTCGCCTCCGCCGCCAAGGACCCGCCGGCCTGGCTACGAGGCCTCCTTCCGCCTCAACTTCCGGGGAATGCCCTCCTAATTCCTAAGCGAGTCGCCATCGGCTGTATCACTGCGCGTCGCTCCTTCTGACTGCGCTTAACGGCGGCCAACTCACCTTCGGCGGAGAGGCTCTGCTTGTGCAATCACGAGGCAATATCTGGCCGGGGGAAGGGTCATGGCGGGGATTACCCAGGAGAATCTGGGGAATTTGCTTGGGATTAGAAGGAAGAAATAGGGAAAGGTGAGGGAATGAAAAGTAATATCTGGTGCTTGGTTTGACGCTTATACGCCCTGGCGGAGACGTGCTTGCCTGCGCCCAAGCACAGCGGGTTAGCTATTCTCTTTGATGATTAGGCTTAAGGAAAGAAGATATATATATATCTATATATATATATATATAATATATATATATATATATATATATATATATATTATATTGACAGATCTAGATTTCTACACATTCACAATATTGTTTATAACTTCCTTCCATTCTTTCAGTGACAGGCATTTTATTGAGAGAGAAAAATCAGCTACTATTGCAACATCTGTTATCTTTGCATACAATAAATAGATGTATGAGGGATTCATAATGATAGTATGAAGACTGGTTTGATTTTAATGATAATAATGGAGACTAACGCTACCGGTGGTGATGAAAATAATGAAATCTTTACAGTTGTAAATCACTATTTAATTGTTCTGAAGATAATACGTTAATGACAATCAAAAATTATAAGTATGACAACAATTTTGCCCAAACGATTAAACTATAGATGACATAAATCTGGTGTAAGATGTTTCTAAAATGTATATGTAGAAAAGGAAAAAAAGTTTATTCAGACGAGAAAGATAATGTGATACATCCGTATCTTATTGTGACAGTTACCTATTACAGAAATAAAGCAAATAAATAAGCATAAAGAACATGAGATAGAGAGGGAGAGATAGAGAGCGAGAGAGAGAGAGGGGGGGGGGAGAGAGAAAAAGAGAGAGAAGAAGGAGAGACAGTGAGTGAGAGAGTGAGAGAGAGAGAGACAGAGAGAGAGATTTGTCTTCATGCAATAAAACATGAAAACAATATGCCGATTAGTAACATTACATTTAATATTCATTTTCATTTTGCAAGTCAGCGAACTCTTAGCAGGTGTATCGCCATCCTTTCCTTTCTTTGATATACATTTGGACTTTTATATTGACACTCTCACGCTCATAAACAAAAGAAAATAATAAAATAAAAAGAAATGATAAAAAACAGCGGTAGCAATTCACGAATTAAAAAGAAAATCTGAATTTTAAGAACTTCCTTTCGCTTTTAGAACTCTTTACACTTACAACTTTTAAACCAGAGATTTATTTCTGTTCTCTTGTTAGTCCGATGCCGCTGAAGAATATGGTTATTTATCTTCTTTATTTCTCCTTCAGTTCTTCTTGCGGTTTCTTTTCTTGTAATAAGGAAATCTCTCTTTCAAAGGAGTTCAACTGTACGCCAAGGAAACCAAAGGGAAGGTCTTTGGTTTTAAGCTTTTTATTTTACACCTAAAAACTTCCTTTGCTTTTTTGACTATTTGTATCTCTTTTCACACAAACACACATACACATATATGCATACATACGTGTATATATTATATATATATATAATATATTATATATATTATATATATATATATATATATATATAATATATGTATGGTATGTGTGTGTGTGTGTGTGTGTGTGTGTGTGTGTGTGTGTGTGGTGTGTGTGTGGTGCATAAGAAAATATGTGACAAACAATATATCATATACACAAACATATCTTACAGAATGCAAAGATATGTACATTGAATATTAGCATACATATTTCAGCAATGGTAATGTAGATAAGCCTTTAGTTATATATGTGCATGCATGTATGCCTGGTTACATACATACGTGTGTAGCAACTCATAACACCATGCATTTCCACAGAGTATCAGTCAAAAGGTCATCTCCAGCGTCAGTTACAAGTCACTGATCGAGAATATCAGACGTAACAATTGCGCAACCCACTTTCAGCAAGCTTAACATAAACAGAGTCACATCTATCTATTTTTTTATCATTTACTTTTCGAATCTTCATACTATTACTGATGTTTTAATGACCAACCCAGAATGGATAACGAGTCTACTTGGGGTGCTTTTCCTCATTCTCTAAGCGTGGTCTTGATGGGTAGCATGTGCAAGGCCTGAACAGCTAGGCTAAATGCAGAGCATGTAAAGAAATAACAAAGCGTGCCCAGCCCGCATAAGGGCCTGCTGACGCCCCTGGAAGGAACACTGACTCAGTGGTGTACCTGTGAGAATACTGAGGGAAGCGGATCTTGTGAGCACATCTTAGAGTTAGAGTGGCGTGCGCAGTCAGGATCTTGCACATGGCTATGAGTCATGAGATGTAAACAGGTGAGTCATCTCCAACCCGTTTGAAAAGTGCATAACACACACTGGACACACGGCCCACCGATATGTATGATTGTCATTCGTAGCATTTTTAAGGTTTCAGCCTTCGCCCTTATTTTCAAAAGCTATCCTTTATATCAAACAGAAAGGAAATAATTTACTGCTCCAACACAATGCTATCAAGACCAATATAAATATAATGTATAATGGATAAAATGCATATATGTTTAATGAAAGTCATTATGCCCTAATCTTACTAATACTTTACCTTTGTGTGTGAAACTCTTCAAAGAGGTAAAGTCACAGCCATTCCTAGTGCATAAGTCTCCTTGGTGACAGAGATGTTGTGCATGCCAGCTCCACCTCCTTCTTCCATTTCATACTCACACCAACCCTCCCCTCCATTCTCTGCTTTTCCTAACACACCCAGCTGGACTGCTCTTGATGAGAGCACACACATAACACTCCTGAAATCAAAATTTCTCATTCAACATTGATCATTTCCTAACCTGTACATTTCTTTCAAATAATCTAAAAATGCTTTATCTTGCTTTTTAACTCAATATTGAGAGTGCATATATCTTTGCCATGGCTAGCCAAGCCTAAATGCCATTTGCTAAGGATACACAGACTACACAGAATGAAAAGAATTTTTCATGATCTACTTTTCCTGTTTAACAAAACAAAAAATATCTTTAACATACCATTCACTAATGAAAACAGGGTAGAACATTGGTGGTCTCGGACCTTGGTTATCATTGCAAAGGAACTCATAAACAACATATTTTGGTTCCTTTCCTTTTGGGGCACTAATGAACATCATCACTGCAAAGTAAGGAAAAACAAGGTGAACAAAAAATATCACAGATACCTTGAGCCTCCAGGCTAGAGTAAATGTTTGTATATCAAATCACAGGTCAAATTACTCTTGTACATGACGTTGATGCTTTCATGATTTCAATTTTTTCCTTTCCTTCTACTTATATACATTTGTATTTTTTGTTTTTAATTCTCACTTCATACTCTAAAACACTGAATCATCTCATTTTACCATGGCCTCCCTCCTCAGCCTCTTGTTTATAGCCAATGAAGAACTCAGTGCTTGTGAACCATGTGATACTTAGAACTGCACCCAGTTCTTCCATTGGGGGTCTTGCAATGTTCCTTACAGGGGTCAGGTCAGGCTTGAACAGGGCTAGGGATCCATCAGTTAAGCCTACAGTCAGCTGCTTGCCTTTTGGTGACCATCCCACAGCACTGGAGATGAAAAAAATTGTCTATTATCAACTGAAGAGGTGAAAAGTATTGTAATTCCATCCCGAATCTATTAAACTATTGATGTCAGGAATATGCACTGTCGACATTGGTTTTCATCTTATTCTTCATTTACTTATACACAGATGGTTTCTCAAGTGTTTAAGACCAAGGAATTATGGTGTTACCCTCTTAACCCCTTGATTTTTTTTTTTTTTTTTTTTTTTTTTTTTTTTTATTTATTTATTACTACATTTTACAACATCAACAATATTATGTTGACATCAATATTTGTACTTTTTTCAAAAAATTCAAGGAATAGGGTAAATACATGCAATCATGTAGGTAACACATTGAATCTACAGTAAAAAAGTTCTTGTCAAGCTAATCAGCAGCATAAAGAAATGTTAATAAACATTAAAAAAAGTAACTAATATATAAAACAAAACCTTAGAAGACAGTGCATATGCACTCCAGGAATTAACACCTAGTGATGAGATGGTATGACTTACATGCTAAATCCAAATCTAATGTATTAACTTTGTTTACACACAGATGATTCCACAAATGCTTTTGTCACCAAGGGGTCAATTACTATTGCTATTTCACTCTTTTTTCTGCAAGATTTGTTTTTCTTTCATACTGCTTTTTGCCATATAATACTATAATAAACATATTTTCAGCAATAATAATAATATTGATATTAACAACAAAAATACGTTTTCCCTGAAAATTCAAGGAATTGGGAAAGCAAGTGAAGTAAATAGTACCTACAATCCCTTGGTGGTTGAGCACTTATTTGTCACAAAAAAAGGAAAGAAGAAGAAAGAAAGAAAGAAAAAAAAAGTGGACAGCACATGTACCCATTGCCAATATAGCAATGGGTTGCATAACTGAGGAACTCCCACTGCAATCTGTCCTCCACTACTTCTTACCATGCCTTTATTTCCACTGTTTTCACATCAATACTATTGTCCTTCAGCAAGATGATGGAGAGAGCGCGGGTGAGGTGGCCACAGCAATATATTGTTGGGCATCATTGGGTTCCATGCGATGCCTGCACACGAGACCCACCAACTCGGCTAATGGCTGTACTTGCAAATGGTGATTGGCTTGCAGACTAGAAGTACAAGTAGTATGGTGAGAGAAATTATGAGTAAATATTGATAAAGAAACCAATAAAATTATCTGTCAAGGGGGATTAATAAAAATCCCTCAGAATGCTGAGCATGTAAAATCCATGATGTAAATCTGACACTATTCCTATCAAATTACTACCAATATTGAATCTATTTTTCACTTGTGAAAGAAATGGTAGTAAAGAAAAGTGTCTTAGATTCTTATGTTTTATAAGACAGTGAGCAATGATTCTACATTTTTAATGTTAGGTATATAGTCAAGATCTACCTACAAAATACATATACAACATTACATCAAATTTTTAAATCTAACATGTGAATCAAACAGTGAAAGAAATGGATAAAAAAACAACTAAAAAACAATTTACCTCATGCACAAAGTTGCGGCATTCATAAAACAGAGCATGAGGAATGTCACCATGGATGACGACAGCCATGAGGGTGAGGCCATCAAACTGGCGCGCAAGGTGTGTGATGGGTGCTCTCCTGTTCCACTTTCCATCTTTCGTCTCACCATCAGCCAAGAGTGCTTGGGTTTTGATACACTAAATTTGAGACATTTATCAAAATTCAATTGTATAACATGAATTATGTGCTTATGCATACCACTACTACAGGATGAAATCATTTGACATATCTGTTGAAGAGGGAAAAGTAATGACTTCTAATGCAACAAATTCTGCTAGAGACAACTCCTCCAGAATTAATATCTAACACTTCATACCTTTGAAAGTCGTCCCAAGAGCAGCAAAGACAATTCCATATTTTGGGGCAACTGCTACTAGGGAACAATTTTCACTTGGTGATGGTAGTAATGCAGCATCATTAGGGAAGACTGATACATGATCAGTGATAAACCTAAGTGTCTGAAAAGAATAAAGAAGTACCTCATTTAGCATTCATTGTTGTGTTACAGCTTGACAATGAAAGTTACTCAACTATGGATACATAAATATAGTGACATGGATAAATAAGCTTATTTTTATACTCATATACAATTTTGTATGTGTGTGTGTCTCGGGATTCATAAGTATATCTCTTCATCGTATAAAAGGCTATTACATGTGAAATAGTCATTATGCATTGTACAAGGCAGAGCTGAAGCTTTGCTAAGTTAATTTTTTATAACTAGATGACATTAAAGATATTCATCACAATATAACAATAAAAATGATATTTTGTGATTAATGATAAGTAGCACCACAGGGAAGGAAGGAAACAAAAATCTGCATAAAATACAAGTTAAAGTAAAGTAAAGCTTTTCCAAGCTTCTCCATCTCCTATATCACTCTTTCTCTTACCATCTTTAATTCATGCATTTATTATCTCATCTATCCCAATAGTAATGGGGTAAAAGTTTTGGTAAAGTCTGGCGAGGATAGGTATACATTCGCATATGTCGATCTGCACCTGGGCGGCAGTCCAGCTCGTAGTAGAGAGTGTGGAACATAATCCCAGTGATCAGGAGATGCACTCATGATGTGATGAGGTGTTGGTTTCTGGTATTGTCTGCCATGATGCGAGTCTGTCACCCTTCACCAATAATTATCCAGTCACTGATTCTCTTTTCCTTTGCCTTTTTTTCTATCTCTTCTCTGATTTCATTCATTACATTCTATATCCCATTCATTCACTCTTCCATTCATTTATGCTAACTTTTCTTCTCCTCCTGCCTATCTACATGAACCAAAGGAATTAATGGCTTCCCTGTCCACTGGCCTGTACAACAGCTTTTCCTGGCACAAATTACTAATATTCCATAGTAAACTTTTTCTGCTGCTTCTTTGCTTCTATATCTGTTGTTTTATTATGCATATCTGATGAAGTATCTCCTAATTCTTTATGAGAATAGCAGCACTAACAATGTCTTTATGCTTGAAAATTGTGGATACGTTTATATATGCACAAATCCACCAAGGAAGATCAATCTTTTACGGATTATGCAAGCTAAAATTGAAGACGATATTCTTGGAAGGACAAGAGTTTTGTTGCTGCTATAAGGAATATTTGCAGACACTATGGGCAATGCTCCTAGGTTTGGTCTATCTAGTGCTACCGAGCTGAAGATGTGAGTGGTGTGTGTGTGTTGTGTGTTGGGGGGGGGGTTGTTCCCATCAAACCCTTCCCTCGGCACCCAGCACACAGTAATTTAGACTGTTAAATAAAGTTTTGAAATGGAGACTTTAGCAAGTGTATCTGTATTGTAAAGATTTACCATGATGGATAATTCAACTTGTATCTATCTAAAAATATGAATGGAAATGATATTCTGCCAACTGACTGTCCTGCAGCTATGTAAAAGCTCCCTACACACAATTGAAGATTTTAGCATGAGAATATTATGTTGTGGACTAACTTGCATCACACTATTTCTCTCAAGCATGGAGTCAATGGGTCAACTGATAAAAAAAAAAAAAAAAAAAAGTTTTAGAAGTTGTCAACCAAAGAGCTGCTCTGAAGTTAGTTTTCAGTAGTGATTTATTGATGTCATGTGCTTTTTGCATATTACTGAGAAAAACTGAAAATGCCAAAGAGTTGCATTGCTGTAGGTTGCTCAAACAACAACCTAATGAATAGGAAAGGTCATTTCCGGACTGAGAAAAAAAATGCAACAATCTAATACTAAATTTTTAAAAAGTAATTAAAAAACAATGAAATGCACTAAATCTAGAATGAACAATAATCTTTTACCTGGAGTATTAATCAAGCAGTTGTAAACATCAGGATATTCAACATTAGGCATGTTTTAGGATTGTCAACCAAACATCAGCTGGCAATCTGTAATCCAGCTTTAAACTTTTCAGTTTCACCATGTAGTGAATTTTTGCTTCTCCTTCTATTGTATCAAAATATCTGCATGACATCTCAAGGATTGTGAAAACTTTTAGAAAACGTGAAATGAATCCAGAACAAATATTGCAGTGTATTGGCAACATTTGTGGTCTGTTTTCACCCCGCAGAAATAGTTGCTATACATTGCTATGCTGCTTACGTCATGCTGAATCGCCCTAAATGAACACGAAAGCAAACTGGTAAAGCGATAAATCTGTCAAGCAATAACAAGCAAAGAAAGTCCTCCCATAAAATCTGCCATGAAATACACTGGGCTGGTTCCTTCTTTGCTAACACTTCTCCTGGCAGGCCTACAAGTTAAAAACCCAGTGGGCAATCGTTGACCTTTGCCGCAGCATCGCCCGGTACACAAGTCATGCTGTAAGTAACTTTAAGTGTCCTTTAAAGTTTTAATCAAATCTAAATTGGTATTTATTCATTTATTTATTCTAATTGTACCGTTTTCTCCTATTCCCTGGTCATCCTAAGTGATGCAATGCCTTATAGGAACGACCTTCTGTTATCTCAATATACATACTATTCCATGACGTCTCTTTAGGTTTCACTCACTCCAAATGACAATAACACATCATGCAAAAAGTTATTTATTGTCATCATATCGTATCATTTACTCCGTCCTCATTCACAAGAAATGCAAGCCCGTCATTTCATTCATAAGAGACCTTGCAACAAAACTTGTTCTTTCGTTATTCTTTCCCTCATTTCTCTGCTTCCAACGCCTCACCGTGCTCAGGACACTGTCTGGGGCGTAATCCATCCTCTCGGCGTTGAATCTGCTCCTGTGACCATATAAAATGCATATAATCAAATCTCAACTACATTTCAAATTTCTCCTAACGTTTCGATGGAGGAGACAACGCAGTCGCATGCATCCACGGCGTTCTTGTACAAGACTGGATATCCGTTCGGCGTCAGAAAAATTTGCTTTTAGCTTTAATTTTTTACGTCATCTTTGTCAATTTTTAAGAAGCTGATGTGGCACACATAAAAAGAAATTTTTAAAAATAGTAAATAGTCCTATCCGTTAAATAGCTTTGCTCTTACTTATTTAGTATACATAAGGTAATGATTGTGATGCTAAAAGCATGTCTGGTGTCCGACCTTGGTGTGATGTTCAAAAGGCTGTGTAATGTTTTTTGTTGTCATTTACCGAGTTTGTAAACATTATATGAATGAAAATAATGAGCGTATCAACAGTATTACTACTTAAACCCAGAGAGGCACGTTGGTATTTTATATATGTACAGCTATCTTTGCTAATAATTTAACACATGCAACATACTTTCAACATTCATAGTAAATTTAAAAAATTAGGTGAGAAATAAAAATGTAAAGTTTGCCTTCTTCTATACGTGAGCTCATATCTTATCATTGTTTATGCACATGAGTCTTCATAATCAACCAGCAAAAAAAGAAAAAAAAAAAAAAAAAAAAAAAGTTTTAAGGAAAACCGTGTGGATGAACACCATCACAGATTTCACAAAAAATATTTCTTTCTTTATCATTATTATTATCATTGTCAATGGTAATGAGATGAAAAGGGTAATAATGTTAGTGATAAAATGTTAATTGATAATGATGATAACATAATGATGATGATCACATATGTGATACATAATGATTATAATATATATGAATAATAGTGATAATAATAATGATGATGATTATTAATGATTATAATTATCATTATCATTGATAATGATCATATGATAATAATAATGTATAAATAATTAATAATAATAATAATAATAAACACAAAACAACAACAACAACAACAACAACAATAATATATAATAATTTATATAATTAATAATAATAATAATAATAATAATGATAAGATAATATAAAATAATAATTATAATAATAATAATAAATAATAATATAAATAATAATAATAATAATAATAATAATTATATTATAATAATAATATTAATATAATATAACAATATGATATATGATGTGGTATTAAAATAAATATAATGATGATAATAATACTCTTTTATCATATTATTAATTGCATAATAATAGTGAAGTATGATAATAAATGATAATAATGATACAAACAGGAGACAACACTTATATATATAATATGGACTCTGATATAATATAATAATTAGATAATATAAATGATAATATGATAATATATTAA